AATATTTTAAATGTTTTTCACAAAATAATTTAGTGCAGTATAGAATATGAGTGTCTGTGTGTGTATTCTTTCCTGATATGTGTGTATATATGTGTAGGGGTGTGGGGGTGTTATTTTTCAGCATGTGTGTGTGTGTATATACCATTAGAACAAAGAACCAAATGGATGCAATAAAAGCAATATTTTTTACACTGTATTTTTTAATACAGTGTTCTAGTTGCTTTCATTTTATATTTTCTATTTCTGAATAGCAATGATTAATATGAAGTGGAAGCATTGTGAAGCCCAAAATTCAAAAACTCACCTTTTTCTTTAGCATGACTTATTTTATCTATTTCATTGACAAAGAGCCTGGTTGACCACCTATTCATGGTAGAGGCTGTGCAACCGAAGATGGACGGGTCATCTCCCAAATTAGCAGTTAATTCTGTGATGTTCGCAGCTGGGCAAATTCCTTTCAAAGTTTGTTTCCAAGAAAAATGTCAAATTCAAAAGTAGCTGATGCCTACAGATAACTGCTGTACGCTTGGCAGCCTTTCTGTTCAAGCAGAAAGAGCAAGGAGGAGCGTGTTGGAGGGATCTGTAATCAGAGCATCCTGCCAACTTCACATTCACAAGACTGTCCTTACATGTTAAAGTGGCAGTTTCCATTATAGACTCATTTTCAGACCTTTGTAATCCATGCCTAACTTGGCATTACTAACTTTTACCAGAGAAGAAATAACTAACTTTATTTCTTGGTAGTGTTATCCATGAGAATTTTCTTTCCTGCCTGTCTCCTGGGAGGCCCTTTGATGATAAGTCCTGGTCTAATGTTGAGCCTACCAGCCAGAGACTAGCGCTCAGGAGGGGTTGCTGATTCCTCCACAAGAGCCTGGCTCACAGGGGCAGGTGTGGTGTGTGTGCTGCAGAGTGATGGCAGAAAGACTGTGAAAGACAATGAAATTTATCTTACCAATTTGCTTTCAGGATAAGAAAACTAGTAGAAAAAGCATAGCAGTGATTGAAAATTTCAAGATATCTCTTTACCATATCTGACTTCATTCATGGCATTGGACACGGGTCATATTTTCAATTAGGAAAGGAATACATAATTCCAGTCTACCTGTTCTGTTCCCCACTCTGTCTCTGGTGAATCCTCTCACCCTCCCACCTCTGGCCTATACCCCAGTTCTTGTATGCATAAATAAATCTTTTAAAATAAAATAAAACCTGGGGCAGCTATGAAGAAGTTTTTGGAACTTGGTTTTTTTTTTCCTTAATGCAACCAACGCTCCAGTAAAGTGGTACAAGGGAGAATGGTACTGTGGCTAACTGATAGCCCCAAACCTCTCTTAAAGCAAAGCAAGTTTAAGAGATAATAGTGTTTATGACACTCTCGAATTATTTTTAGCACCAGCTGGTTAGATCAGCTTCCTCTCTTTGAGATGATGCTTCAGTACCTACTTGTACACAGGGCGTGGGCAATTATCCAGCTGAAAATAATTGCTACAACTGATTGAGCACTTATAGTGTCAGAGCCTTTAAAATACATTTGCTGACATCCCCAAGAGTAAGCACTTATAGTATAAAAGAGTCCAATAATAGATATTATTGCTTGTACTACAGAGATGAGGGCTCTAACATGCACCAAGATTCTTTAACTGACCTAAGCATACTAGTAACATTGACTGCCCCCGAATTTGAAAGTCTGAAGCTGCTACAGAACATTAAAACCCATCATCTTCCCCCTACTGCCTTTCAGGCACTTCTCCCTCTTGAAGGGAAATTTCTATATAAAATGTGTTTTGTCATCAATTCCAAAGAACACCTGCACCCCTATGTTTATAGCAGCTCTATTCACAATAGCTAAGCTTTGGAAACAGCCCAAATGCCCAAAAATAGATGACTGGATCAAGAAGATGTGGTACATATATACCATGGAATATTACTTAGCATTCAAAAAACATAAACACATGCCATTTGCAGCAACATGGATGGCGCTGGAAGGGATCATGCTCAGCGAAATAAGCCAGAAAGAAAAAGAAAAATACCCGATGGTCTCACTCATAGCAGGAATCTAGAAAACTTAAATAAGGGACCAGGAAAATGAATAACTATAAGAAAGTGAAAATCAAAATCAACAAAAAACTATGAACCAGAGACACTTTTTGGGGGTGGGGGGTGGGAGGGGAGGGATTGGGGTCAGAATGGGGGGGTTGCAAGTGTATGGGGAATATAAAAATAAAATTTGTTATTTAAAAAAAATAATAAAATGTGTTTTGTCACTTAATGAGAGAAATTGGGTCTACATTTCATGGGAGGATTTGTTCTTCAATTACTACAATTATTGGAGACTTCTATTTCTACTTAGAAACAGTAATCAAAATGTAAAAATCTAAATATCAGAAATTTAACATCAGCTGTTTTTTTCACTATGGAAGCATTTCTACTGACAGAATGAGAGTTTTCAGGTAGCAAATAGCTGTTAATTTTATTAATGCTTTTTAGGCAGCAGCCCATAAAGTGAGACCTTTCCTGGTAAACTTCATTTGTTTTGCTTAAATAATGAGATGAATCAAATACATTGAACATCAGATGACCAAATCACCAAAGGGATTAAAGGTGACAAGACAGTCCGTGATAGTTTTGATCACTTGAGGCAGAATAGAAAAGATCACTGGGCAAGGAGTTGAGATTCTATAAGATCTAATCTTGGCTTTCAATTTCTTTATTTTTTTAAATTAAATTTTTTTTCCCAACACCATCCACGATAGCCCTTTGACCATGCTCCCTCCACATTCCCTCTTAACTCAGAAACATCACTTTGTTTATTAGTATCCACTAGTTTTTACAAGTATTTAACTTCTTCAAATCGGCTGATGTGTAAATGTCCGATATTTGTTGCTGTTATTCTGATGCTTTACTACACCTCATTGCCTCAACCTCCCTCCATTTTTGCTCTAAATGGCAACATTTTGTCTTCCCTTGTGACTGAATAGTATTCCATTGTGTGGATAGACCACCTCATCTTGATCAGTCCTCTCTCGGTGGGTACTTAAGTTCCCATATCCTAGCTATTGGAAATAATGCTGCAGGTAACATTTTAGGGAATATAATTTCTGAGTTGATGGTTCTCAGGTTGAAGTCCAAAAGTATTTCCATTTTCAGTTCTATAAGATGAATGAATCTAGATCACTTTCCACAGTGCCTGCATCTGTTGACATTCCCACCAGCAGTGTAATGGGGTTCCTCCTTCTGCAGTCCTCTCCAGCACGTGTTGTTGAGTCTTTTCAATACGTTCCATTCTCATGGGCATGAGATGATACCTCATTGTGGTTTTGACTTGTATCTCCCTTATCAACAGCAATGATGAACATTTTTCCAAGTATCTATTGCCATCTGAGAATCCTCCTTATTGAATTGTCTGTTCAGATTTGCTTTCCATTTATCAATTGGATTAATTGGGAGTTTTTTTATTGTTAAATTGGCTATTAACATTTGGCTATTAACCCCTTGTTGGTTGTGCAATGTGTATTTTCTCCCATTCAGTAGTATGTCTTTTTAATCTGCTTATATTTTCTTTCAATGTTTAAAAGCTTTTTAATTTGAGGTAACCACATTGATTTTTGCTTTTATTTCCCTTGTCATCAGAGTCAAGTCTCCAAAAACATCTTTGTCATTGACAGCAACCAAAGTTAAATTTCTTAAGCTCAGTAAATCTAGAATTCTTGTTCGGTAAAAAGCACTAAATAATATCTAACTCCGCTCAGCTATAAATTTCTATGATATATTCAACAGACCTCCTCACTATATAGGAGTCTTGGTTAGAGACCACCTTTGAACACTACTATTTTAAAAAAAAAATGATGTCAAGAATTCATCACTGACACTTTGATTATATCCACATGTTCCAACATGTTGCATTGTCAGCTTAAATCAATGCAAGTTCTCTCTCAGGTTGTAGTCTATCCAGGGTTAGGAAGGCAGAATGGAAACCACTTCAAAGTTAGTAAGTTCACTGTCAAGTCTCTCTGTGGCCACTGCTGCCTCTCCATTTCCCACAAACCCACCAGTTAAAAATATATTGGTTTCATAATTGAAGGACATTCTATAAAACACCTAATTTGTATCCTTCAAAAATGCCAAGGTCAAAGAAAGGAGGAAGAAGTTGTTGCAGACTGAAGGAACCTAAACAGATTTATCATTAAATGTTGTGTGGTTTCAGGGGTTAGATCCCAGATAAGGGAGAAAATATAGATACCATTGAAATAATTGCTAAGTTTGAATATGGACTATAGATTAGGTAATAGTATTAAATCAATGATAAATTTCCTGAGCTTAGGACTCCACTTACATTATGTAAAAGAATTCTTTGTGCTTTTAGCAAATACATACTGAAGCATTTAGAAGTAAAGGGGCATGATATATCAAATATACCCTCAAATGAGTCAAAGGAAAAGAATATGAATGTGTGTATTTATATTATAGAGAGAATATCTCTCTAGACATATATGTCTTCATACATATATGTGTGTATATAAATATAGAGATTATTAAAACAGATGGGTACAGGGCCTCCCCGGTGGCGCAGTGGTTGAGCGCTGGGTTGCGAAGCTGCCCACTGCCTCTGCAGTGCCGGTTCGATCCCCGGCTGCTCCCCGGCCACCGGAGGAGGGTCCCACATGGTGTGCAGACCTCTCCTGCCGCCCGCTGCTCCCCTCAGCAATGTGCTTCGGTCCTTCTGCCTGCTCTGCCCCCCGCTCTGGCTCTGGTGAATTCTCTCACCCTCCCGCGCTTCTGACTGTACCCAGTGCTTGTATAAATAAATAAAAATAAATCTTTAAAAAAAAAAATGTTTCTTTAAAAAAAAAATAAAAAAAAAAATAAAACAGATGGGTACAAGCTATTAGTAAATCTGAGCAATAGGTATATTAGAATTCCTCACACTATTCTTACAGCTTTTCTGTAACTTTGAATTCATTTATTTATTCATTATTTATTTATTTACTTATTTATTTTAGGAGAGAACATGGATGCAGTCCCCCACTACCACAAACTACACACTCGAGTTTCCCACATTTGGGGGAAATCACAGAGGTTAGCACATCTGGAATGCAATGGATGAGCCTTGCCCTGGGAAAGCCATCTTCATTATCATGGTTTCTCTCCTACCAGGTAAGTGTGGAATTTATTTTAAAACAAAGTTACAGAAAGATGGAGATAATAGCTGAATATAATTTTTGCTGTATTGTTCTTTGAATTTGGTGAGCGATAAAAATTGTTTGCCCCTTTATAGTCAATGCAAACGTGGTTGTGATTTCTTTTATTTTCTGTTCCCTGAGGCAAGACACCTGGATGACTCTTCTGGAAGACATTGTGGTGTGGTGCTAACAGGGAAGTGCTGGGATCATAGTTACTTAGTTCTGAATCTCTCTATGCCTTAGTTTCCACATTTGTGAAACAGACATAAATAAATAGTACCTGATTCATAAAGTTGTAGTAAGGATCCAATGAGATAAATCTAGTAAAACACTTAGAAAATAATTGAAAGAAGGGTCTTGAGAAGATAATTGTACATTTAATCATATTAGTCACATTATTCACAATCACCCAAATGGAGAAGCAACCCAGCTGTCCCCCGATGGAGGAATGTGGTAAACAAGGTATGCACTTACAATGGAATAGGATTCACTCTTTTGTTTGTTCTGTTCTAATCCCATATTTTTAATTTCCTTTTTTTTTAAGTTAGCCAGAGCTAACGCAACACATAGGTTCGCAACTCTTCAGATGGAAGTCACTATACCACACTCACCACCAAAGCACTCATAATTCTCCACCATAAGCCACTGGGCTCCTCCTTCCCTCCCCCATTACTCCTCACCTGCTGCTCTTCACACCTGCTACAACATGGGTGAACTTTGAAGACATTCTGTAAGTGAAATAAGCCAGTTCTAAAAAAGACAAATTCTGTGTGCTTTCAATCATAAGCACTATCAAGCGTGGTCAGACTCATAGAACGTGCTTGCCAGGAGCCAGGGAGGAGCCATGCAGAGCTCTTGTTCAAGGGTTCTAGAGTTTCAGTTGTGCAAGATGGAAAAGTTCTGGAGATGTGCATATATTTAGCTTATTGAACTGGCCTCAGAAATGTTCAAGGTGGTAAATATTGTTAAATGCATTTTACCATAGTGAAACAATAGGGAAAAATAATGGAAAATAGTCTTTTTAGTAAGATATTTTATTTTACCTTAAAGACACACTTGGAAAAATGCATGACCTATAGCACTTCAATAGTCTTTGCTTTTTCTCTTTAAATTTTCTGATTCAGAATGAGGTTTTTTTAATATGTTCTGTGATCTCATATAGATATCTCATTGATATAGAAACAGTTCTCTGAATTCAAGTGGAAACAAGCAATTGACATTTTCCTAGGGTAGTTCAGGGGCCCCTGGGTGGGATAAACCCTGTGAGGAAGGAAGTGCCTGGAATCAGATATCCAAGCAGGGATCAGGAGCACAAGTGGTCCGCTCTCTGTGGGGTGGCACTAAAAAAGCTGGCAGACGACCAGCTTGCTGTTTATGTAATTGAAGGAGAGCTACAACAGATTCTGGTTCTTGGTCCAGCAGTGGGTCACTGTAAACTCTCTACAGGCCATAAAAGGAGACTAAGAGGTGGCCTATTCAAGCACACGAGGAATAAATAATGTCCATCAGACCTATGGCATTCGAAGCTTCCATCACTCTGACAGCAGGAAATCGCTGGGCGCTGCAGAGTAACTGAGTGATGGAATATGACACAAAGTTGAGGGAGCACAATAAAGTCATCTCATCTTTGAGGACGTGGCTATAAATTCCCAGTACCTTGGAATAAACTTAACAAGAACTATGCAGAGCCAACATAAAGAAAAATACAATATTTTACTGGGGAAGATGAAAGTGGTCCTAAATAAATAGGATAAAATGTCATGATCTCAAACAAGGATTCATGCTGTATGTTTTCAGATCTTCTAGATTTCATTGATAAATACAATGTAATTCCATGGAAAGTAACAATTCAAAAATTATGTAACAAAAGAATTAAGAATGGAATGAAAACTCTCAAGTAAAAAAACAATATCTGGCATGATATTAGACACATAGGTGAATCAAACAGATTCTAAATTCTGAAACATCCAAGAATATACAAGGATTTAGAATTATTGAATCACTCTTGCAATCAATACACAAAGAATAGATTTTTAATCAACAGTGCTTTGTAATTTTGTTAACTCTGAAAGAATACAGTTAGCTTCCTTACCTAACACCCTAGATTAACCTATAATTTTGTATCTCAGTAGGGTTTGAATCAGATATCCTGAATATGCAATCAATGTATTACTCATGTCATTAAAAAAAAAAAACTCAAAAGGCCAATATAATTTTGAAGGGGTATTACATTTTATGCCAAATTTAATATTTGCCAAATAATAACAAAATAATCAAATACAAGTTTGGCCCATCAAACTGGAATTTATAAAAGTGATAACACAATAGCCAATGAGATCTCAAGAGCTGGGCAAGATACACAGCAGCAGCAGATGGGCTGCAGGGCATGGTGTGGGACAGGCACAGTACTCTGTGCCCTCTCCAGGTGCCCCACTCTCCCTAAGTCTTCACTTATTCCCCCCAGAAGCTCCTGGTATAGACTTTCAAGGAGCAACTTGTCAATATGCATCCAAAGTGTTAAAATATGTTCAGACCTTTTTCACCCAGCTCACACCATGAAAAATATGTTAAGAAATGAGAACATCAATGTAGAAATATAAGCTATGTAACCTGAAAATATGAAATATTTTCCTGCTGCAGTACCCCTAGAAATACTGAATTAAAGATAGACTTTTTTTTTTAAATGCTGGCGGAAAGAAGAAAGTGGGGAGAGGGGGGGAAACAGTAAAATATAAATTCATGAGCTAAAACTTCAGTGGCCTCAGAGGGTTCCAAGTATAAGTAATCAAGGGGCTTTTTTAAAATGTGGGAAATACATTCAAATGATTCAAAATTCACATCTTGTAAAAAAAAAAAAAAAAGGTAGAGAAAAAATTTATTCCCAAACTTTTCCTTAAACCACTCCCCAGAGACCACCACTGTTTTTTGTTGAGGTGGTGGTGTACATATTCTTATTTTTAAATTAATATATTTTTTAAGGAAATGCCTTTTTCTTACATCCTTTTAAATTTTTTTTTGACAGTGTAGGGTTTCTCCCCTCAGGTTTGGTCACTGTAGTTCCCACCACCAAAGCACCCTTTGTCCATCACCACAGTACTACAGTGTCCCCCTCTCTTCCCCTTTTAACCCCGTTCCCCTCCACCTCCCCACCCCTCTCCGGTCTTGGATGCCTCAGATCTGTGGTCAGCTTGCAAGGTTTGTCTTTGCCCAGAGACAACCAGACAACCACTGTAACCAGTTTCCTGTGTGTTCTTCCTTCCACATCTTGTTTCTTGTGCAAATAAGCCTTTTTAGATTTTTTTCTTGTTCTACAGCTTGCTTTTTTTCCAGCATCCCTTATTTGCCCTTGTTCCTTTTTCCCTCTCCCCTCCCTCTTAGCCTCACAGTTCTCACTGAGTTTACTAATATCCACTCATTTCATAAGGATTTTACTTGGTCAAATTGTCTGCTCTGTAAATGTCCAGTATTTGTTTTTGTCATTCTGATTTGCTTTACTGCCCATTGTTCCCTGCAATTCCTTCCATTTTGCTGCAAATGGCAGCATTTCACCTTTTCTTATGGCCGAAGAGTGTTCCATAGGTGTGGATACAGCACCTCTTCTTGATCCATGTGTGAATACACACCTTTCTTCTTTTTTTTTTTTTAAAGATTTATTTATTTATTTATACAAGCACTGGGTAAGGTCAGAAGCACGAGAGGGTGAGAGAATTCAACAGAGCCAGAGCGGGGAACAGAACAGGCAGACCGACGAAATACACAGTAAGACTATGTCATTCCTACATATAAACAATTTTCTCATTCTTTTTTATCAGTTACACTGTATTGTATTTAATGGTTAAACATAATCAGTTGCCTATGGATAGGCATTCGATTGTTGGCAGTCTTTTTTTTTTAAGATTTATGTATTTATGCATGCAAGAACTGGGGTACAGGTCAGAGATGTGCAGGGTGGGGATGTGAGGACTCACCAGAGACAGATTGGGGAACAGAACAGGCAGACAGACCGAAGTACACTGCTGAGAGGAGCAGTGGGTGAGTCAGGAGAGATCTGCTGCACCATGTGGGTTAGCTCCCTGGTCTTGGATCGAACTCATGCTGCAGTGGCTGTGGATAGCTTCATAGATTGCATCTTAACCCTTTGCACCACCAGGGAGGCCCCTGTTGCAGTCTTTAACCACCATAAATAAAGATTGAATGAATAACACTGAGCATCTGTAGGGAAAAAAAATACCAGTATAATAGAATCCTGTGTATATAGCAAGTAAGGGCTCTTTATCTAATTGTCTTTCTTAGCTGTTGGGCTAGTCTGCACACCATCTATGTGAGAGTAACTGTTTCCCCTAACTCACACCAAGATAATGTTTATGAATTTTTTGTATCACTTCCCACTTAATAATGGAAAAATAGTGTCAGCAGTGAATTAATTCCCAATTTTCTTTTCATGGGGAAGGTTGAATGTCATTTCCTAGGTTTAAGCCAATTATTTTCCTTTACATAAACTTCTCATGTACTTTATTCACTGTTCAGCTATGTTTTTGGTCTTTTTCTTGTTGATTTGGTGGAGATTTTATGTTAAGGAAATTAGCCCTTTGCTTATGGTTTTTTTAAAGATTTATTTATTTATTTATTTATTTATTTATACAAGCACCGGGTACAGTCAGAAGTGCAGGAGGTCGAGAGAATTCACCAAAGCCAGAGCGGAGAACACAACGGGCAGACTGATGAAATACACTGCTGAGGGGAGCAGCAGGTGGCAGGAGAGGTCTGCGCGCCATGTGGGACCCTCTCCTGGTGGCCAGGGATTGAACCAGTGCTGCACAGGCTGCGGGCAGCTTCGCAACCCAGCGCTCAACTGCTGCACCACCAGGGAGACCCCCTTTGTTTATGATTTTAAAGTATTTTTTTAGTTTCCATTCACCTTTTGATTCTTTTAGCAATTTAATTGAAAAATAACTGACATACAATAAATTGCTTAGATTTAA